GGGTTTGTTTATCGACTACGAATTGTAAAAGCAAAACTAGGAATCTTAAACTCGCAACTCAATACTCAAACTCAAATAATGATAAAGGGGCTAGGGTATCGGGGTCAATCAATTCCGGTTCTCAATACACTTAACGAGCAATCATGAGCTCGGTTAAATGTCTCGCTAAACTACTCATCTAGAGATCTATCCTCAATAACTCTCCGTAACAAGAGGATAGACATAAACGAGTAATTCTTGAAACAATCAACACATAAGCAATACTATTACGAACAAGCTTATTCCTAAAGAGCCTAGATCGAACGATTTCTCCCTTTCAGTTCTAAAATTGATTAATTAGATTAAGATGGTGATCAAGCATCAAAACCCTAGGCTAAGCACAACTCGAGAGGATTGAGCAATTATCATGCATATAAACAGAATTGAACCAGAACGATATTCCCCTAACCCTAGCTAATGAATTAGCTACTCATAATGCATTCAACATCAACAAACACAATAATCAAAGCCATTCAATCAATAACAAAACAAAATGAAAGCTTACGATTAATGAATCCAATGTCGAAAACACGAATAAACCGAATCCAAAAGTCGAATCTCGGAGTTTTTCTCTCCAAGATCGAATACCAAGATCAAAACCAAGAGAAAGTATGAGTTTTTGGGTGAAAATACCAAGAACTTTCGAAACCTAGATCAAAACATAAATAATTCTCGTCTCTTAAAAACTGCAATTTTAAGAATCTGAAAACGCGCTTCCCGCGGCCGCGGTGAAGGAGTGCTCCGTGGCCGCGACTTCTCCCACGGCCGTGACTTTTCAACTTTGTCCGCGGGTTTCAAATCTTGTGAACTTCACGGCCGTGACCTCTCCCTCCGCGGCCGGGGCGAAGAAAAATTGCTGCTGGAAGTTTCTTTTGTACACCACGGCCGCGGGAAGACCGTCGCGGGCCACGGTGAAGGAATTTCTGCACAGAACTCCGTCGGCCCGACACGCATTCCTCTGGACTCGGGGTTTAGTTCTAACTTTTCCTTCTCAACTCGATCCCAACTCTTAGACAACGATCACCTCACGGCTGCTTACCGAACCACCTAACCTGCATATTGCCACCACCAAGAAAAACGCAGAAAACTGGGAAAAACAAACAAGAAAAACCAAAAACGAGCAAAATAAAGAAAACACACGACACAACACAAAATGGACCAAGAACCAAAGATAATAACCTAGAATGGGGAAAAATAAATGCAAAATAAACAAGGAAAACACGACAAAAATAGAACGAACATATTCCTCTTAGGTTGTTAGACGTCCCTGTATATAGGACGAGTCCTATACCTTCCCCAATAATAGCTCTTCCCTCTGAGCCCAAACATGTTGTAGCATTAGCCTGCCCGTTGGCTAAGTTAGCCGTGCTTAACCCTTTTTCTTATGCCCCTACAGCTGAGGTCGAGGGTTTTAGGGCTTTCAGTGGACTTTCTTCTGACTGGGAGCTGCGCGCACCTGGCCCAACGACGACTTCAGACATCCTCCGTCCGGATATTTCACATTCTTTGTTGACCAAATTATGTTCGGCTTGTGATTTCCCATCCAACCAGAACTTCTGTCGATTAGCGACTTATACAGTGTGCCAATAAACCAATTTTCTCCTAACACAATCCGCATCATGGTTGCCTTCATAATTATTTCCAAAATAAAGCTTCGATATTTCTCTCCCGAGTTTCTTTTTTACTGTTTTAGTTATAGGTTCATAAAGGACGCCCATTGCTTGGGTCGTCGTTCTGGCGTGACATTTATTGAAGATCTCTCTTCTAATGTCACCGAGTGGGAAACCAAGTTCGTCTGTATCCGACCTGCCCCTGGAAAATTCCCGTACAGTAACGTTTGGATAACTAGTAGAGTTAATCAGAATAATAGACCCAAGTCCTCCCAATTCGCTGCCATGCTAGACGACCTAAATAAATGTACCTGGAGTGCTCGCCTTATGGTTAAGGATCGTTCTATCTTACATCATTGTGGGATTTATGTTGATGAGGATGCGTCTCCAATCGGTGATCCTCGTAAGTTTATGTCATCTTTGATTTGCTACCATGTGTCCTCAGTGTTTTTATTGTGTATATTGCTTGCCTTGGCTAGCAACGACCACTGTCCTTTTAATCGTTTTACCTTTGTGTTTTTCAGTTAAAGCCTTAGCTCGTTTCAAGACCAAGAAAGCTAAGGGCGGTGCTAAGTCCGTTAACCCTTCTTCTGCGAAACAACCCGACGATGATTCTGGGTCGGGTGTGAGGGGGGCGGCAGTCGAGACGACTGTCGCGAAAAAGTCAAAGGTGGTGATCCCGGCAGCTGCACGACAGCAAAAATCGTCGGATTCGCGCAAAAGGGCCCAAGACGAGGCCTGGTTTGTTATGGTGCCTGAGTCGTTTAAGCGTCCGAAGAATAAGGACAAGGGGAAGGCCGTCGCTCCCTCTTCCCGCTCCTCTGTTGAAGTCGAGAAGGTCACTTTCGTGAGGCCATCTCGACTTTGGAACCATCCGGAGCCTCATGAGGTGGCGAAGTATTATGATTCCGTTCTCCTTTCCGCTGATAAGGCTCGCGCCGACCGCGACCCTCACCATCGTGCTAACTGTGCTCTCCTCTGCTTTTCCCGAGTAATTATCTTGACTTTGATCAGTCTTTCTTTTATCCTCGTTCAATTCTAATCCTTTGTTGTGTTTGTTTGTTGTTTTTTTTTTAGTTCATGGCGTATGCTATGCCGACTCTTCTCGAGGAGTCGAGATCACCTGATTCTACGCTTCAGGCTTACAAGAAGAAGTCTGAGGATCAGGTCCTTGAGCTCGAGAAGAAAGAGGATGACCTTGCAGCGGCAAAAGCAGTGATTGCAAAGCTGAGGACCTAGAAGGCCGCCGCCCTTGCGAAAGTCGATGAACTCCGCACCGACCTTTCCAAAGCCATGGAGGACAACGTGTCTGAAAGGGAGATCAGGAAAGACGAAGGGCGCAAGTCTTTCTTCAAATCTCCGATGGGCTCGGTCTTTCTCGACGCCTACCGGAAGGAGGTTGTCGCCGCGTTCTGCAACTCTTCCGACTTTCTCGAGAAGTTGTGCCCCGCAACCCTCTAGTACTTTCACTTCACGTTTAACGCATGGAGTCGGCGGTGAAGGGCACTCCTCTCGAGGGAAAAGTCAACCGCCAAGCACTGAAGGAGTCCTTCCTCTCCCTGACGGCTACCATGGTGATTCTTCGCTTCCGGATGATTACCATTGGTGGTCAGGACTCGAGGCCCGGGCCATCCGCAAGGCTAGGTTGGTTGACCAGCTCGAGATTCCTCCTACTCCTTTGTCTAGTCCAGTCGAATTAGTCGAGGCAAGTTGAGTTAACCACGAGGAATCACTGGGCGAGGAGATTGAGGCCGAGGGAGGAGCGGTGGAGCTGTTAGCTGGTGGTGACAGAGATGAGGTTGCTGAAGGCGAGAAGACCCCGATTGTTGACGCCGAGGAGGGCGAAGGGACGAAGCCTCTTCCTGATATTGGTGACGATACTGGTGAGAAGTCGACAGTTGAGACTCTAAAGGATTGAACCTGATTTTGCCAATTTTGACTGGAGTTGTAATGGCCGTGGGGCCAGTTGTTTTTGCAATGCTCTTTCCTTTCCTTTGTCATACTCAACCTATTTTCAAAATTGTAAGGGTTGAGACGGCTACGGATGTAATGAACTATTTGCTTAACATAGTTATCTTTTAGCCCGTCGTTTCTGTTTATTGTCGATTTTCGTGGTTGATTGTGCCTGAATGATTTCTTTTTAAGTTTCTCAGCTTGCCTTGTATGTCTCCTCCCAACCCGGCTTGCGAGCTGGTCGAAATCGAACAACATTTTTAACTGCTTCATAGCTGGTAAACAAGAAGTTTTTCAACTCGTCTTCTCCAAACCCGGCTCGCGAGCTAATCGAAGTCGAGCAACGACTTTTAACAGCTTCATAGCTGGTAAACAAAGAGTTTTTTTAACTCGTCTTCTCCCAACCCGGCTTGCGAGCTACTCGAAGTCGAGCAACGACTTTTAACAGCTTCATAGCTGGTAAACATATTTTTCAACTCGTCTTCTCCTAACCCAGCTTGCGAGCTGGTCGAAGTCGAGCAACGACTTTTAACAGCTTCATAGCTGGTAAACAAAGAGTTTTTACAACTCGTCTTCTCCCAACCCAGCTTGCGAGCTGGTTGAAGTCGAGCAACGTCTTTTAATAGCTTCATAGCTGGTAAACAAAAAGTTTTTCAACTCGTCTTCTCCCAACCCGACTTGCGAGCTGGTCGAAGTCGAGCAACGACTTTTAACAGCTTCATAGCTGGTAAACAAAAAGTTTTTTCAACTCGTCTTCTCCCACCCGGCTTGCGAGCTGGTCGAAGTTGAGCAACGACTTTTAACAGCTTCATAGCTGGTAAACAAAAGGTTTTTTCAACTCGCCTTCTCCCAACCCGGCTTGCGAGCTGGTCGAAGACGAGCAACAATTTTAGCAGCTTCATAGCTGGTCATCTAAAATGTAGGGATGTAGTCGTTCGTATTCATTTTAAGT